CCTATAACTGCCCCCCAGAGGCCTACGAGCGCGTTTCGAAAATGCAATACGAAGCATCACTGAGGACTGTGCCCCGCGTCAGCGTCGTCGTCGCCGCCGACGCCACCGTCGTGGTCGCCGTCTAATGTTGACTAGTGCGGCAAATGCAATATTGATGCGTGCCCTAAGTGGTGCAATATGTCGTGGGTAGTATACGGTGCAACCGATGGGGTGCAGGATCTGTGGCGCACACTGCGAGGTGAACTGTATGTAGTGGAACCTACGTCGTGCACATCATGTGGCGCACGATATGTGGTGCGATCGGCACGGATATATCCTGATGTGCAAGATGCAACTGCTTCTAGAACAGGTTCCATTCGACAGCTCCGAATATCGAGAAACATCGCGACCATCCACCCACGGATTTGGGACATACTGGAGAAACAGGCAATCACCCAGGCAACTTAAAATAACGTGATCACACATCCATACGCCATAGTCATGGCGAAAGACCTTGCAAACATCAGGTCGGCAAGTGGACGGGCTACACATGGAACGCGTCAACGATAAGAGTAGGCAAAAGGAAGACAAACAGGAAACATAGAAAAGAACGCCTCTGAACCGCGCGTATTATTTTCCATGGGTTCTGCACGGAATCGCGGCATTTGGTGTAAGGCGGTGTCTCGTCATATGTTCGGTAGGGATCGATCGCCCGGATCCGGGAATCATATACGGGCCATGTTTGAGAGTGCGTGCCAATTCTTGGCGGTACTGTGCCTTGCATTCTGATTCCGTGATCCAGAGGTTGTCGGCAAGACCTCTTGTTTGAATCATCGATACCGCTCGTCAAACATTCTTCGCAGTCTGCCTCAATAGTTCCAGGGGGCTGGGCTTGAGAGTTTCACCGCGCCTCGATCCACAACGGCACGGCTTAGAGAGAGCAACATGTACATAAACGAAACTATTGCAATGCTGATGCGCATGGGAAGTGGGCTCACGGCGGCGAGCACGCCCGGGCAAGTGAAGACTTCAAACAGATTCGGCCTGATCCCCAGATCGTGCGGGAAAAAGGAAGGACGGGGGAGCGAAGATGGCAACCGCGCGCAGTTGCAAGAGGTGTCAAGAATTTGGTGGATGCGGCATTGTTCTGGCGTATTTGTTACGGGGATGTGTACAAAAAGGCAAGAAGCCGACAGAGACGCAGATCCCGTTTCAAATAGATCATCTGTCCATGTGTCATCCTCTTTGTTTTCCCTATCTTGCTCCCTTTTCCTAAGTATTGTTTTGTCTTCATCTTGTCATGTGTTCCCCTTGCACCGTTTGTAGAATGTACTAGCCATGCCATTGCGCACCAAGCAAACCAAACCCGTTGGAAATACTGAACTGAATACTGCCGCGGTAGACGATGCAATGGAACGATTGGAACACATCGTTTGGAGGCGAAGAGAACAGCATTGAAGAGAGAACGAAACCATAGCAAAACAAACATGTGCACGCAGTCCGAATTTTATCATAGCATTGCTTCTTCTGAAACAGCCCGCGCCGCGGAGTTGTGCCGATTGGAAGCGTCGCAGACAGAAAAGACACATTGCTTTTCTGTCCCGTGTGTGTGACTTCGGACACCGGGGCTAAGGAATACGTGAAAATGGTAGCTCACGGCTCCGCAATGGATGATGGTGCTGTGCGATGGACTTCCCGAACTTCCGGTGACATCGACCCGTGGAGCTGAACAGTCGCTCCCCCTCAAGCAGCAGCGGATGACGACAGCGATAAGCAAACCAATTTGCGACTTGATCGGGGAGACGTAAGACCCGGGTACGGGGGACTCGGAAATCCCCGACGAGGTCGTCAACAAAAATGACGAGGCCGAGCCTGCATTTTGACGAGGCCTCCCGCTGCAGACATCCCACGAAACTCCTCCTCGTCAAAATCCGAGTCGCGGTCGTCAAAAAACGATGGCGAACCCGAGTCCCGGCAAACCCGGGTCTTACGCTCCCCCGACAGCAGCGGATGACGACAGCGATAAGCAAACCAATTTGCGACTTGAGTCAGCCCCCCCGGGGCCCGCGAGCCGCACCTCTCTCGGCCCAGGCCGGAACACAAGTCGGCCTCTGCTGGCCGCGCCGGGTCGCACTCGAAGGGCGGGCGCGCGCGAGGCGGCAGAGCGACAGTGCAGGGACGGGGAGGGCGAGAAGGAGGACGAGGAAGAGGAGGCGAAGCAGGCGAAGGAGGAGGAGAAAGAGGCGGAAGAGGGGGGAAGAGGACGAACCGAAGGAAAAGCAGCCGTACAGTTCGGGAATGGGCCTGGGTCGAGGCGGGAGGACAAAAAAGCCCAGAAAAAACAATGCACGGGAAAGACACAAGGCAGTACCGGGAAACACAGAACAGGCAGGCAACCAAGAAACCGGGAAAGATGCTAGGAACAAAAAACTGAAGACAGAAGAACAACCAAACAGACAAATAAACTAAACGAGCTGCCGGGTGGTATTGAAACCAATGTCTTCCTAGTGCGCGAAAGCAATGCTACTAGTTATTGAAACCAATGATCAATCGTTCTTGGAACCAATGTCTTCAATCGATGAAGCCCGTGTTTGTAGTTATCGGAAATAGCGTTTACAGCTCTTGAAACCAGTGCTCAACTACTGAAGCCTGCGTTCACTTACTGAAACCGTTGTCTCCCCCCAGACGGCGAGGCCGGGCACTGCAGCGTCGTTCCATCCAGCCAGAGGCAGAGTTGAACTCTCCGCGCCGTGCGCGGGGCCGGGGAGCACCGGTGCGAGGGTCACTAACGGCGCACCGCCGGGCAGTCCCCACTCGCACCGCGCCCCCCGCTGGGTAGACAAACCCACGCCTGTACTTCCGCCCACGGTTTATCGCAAGGCCTTCTTCTGGGCCAGCTGTGTCTGGGCAAGCTTTGAGGAACCTGGTGGCAGGCCTTGCTGTAACCTCCTCAATTGTAGCTTGCCATAAGCATTCAGCTTGGTCGTACAAGGACCAGCTAATTTCCTGACGGCCTGAGTGGCTACACAGCCACAAGAAAGACATACCGTGCTCCCGAACTCCTTGTGATAAGCCAAGGTGTGGGAGCTATGCAGGTCTTTGCCGTTCACGGTGCTCTTAGTTGGCACCATGATCATACCCCTGAAAAGGCCCTGGTGGCATGGGGTGGCCAAAAACTTGTCGGCCATCTTGTATGGCGCGCAACCTCCACAGCAGTGACAGCGGACCTGGGAACCTATCCCCCAAACAGGCTGGTGAGCAGTCAAGAGCAGCTGGATTTTGATCTCCCTCCTCTTCGGCCGCAAGGCCGATTCTCTAGGAGCACGGAAACCATCGGCCTCGATGGAGGCCATCAAACTGTGACCGAGGTGCTGAGACAACCACGCAAACATAAAACTTGCGTCGCTGCGCGCCGATTTCCTGGACCCGCGCCGGCCCCCCCTCCCTGGCGCGCGGAGCGCGCCAGGGGCGGCGCCGGAGGCGCCGCCAAGGGGCCCAGCGTGGATCCAAGAAGCCCGCGCGGAGCGCCATAAGTTTATGTAGAGGGCAGACAATCCACCCCGAGACACGAAACCGTTCAGCAAACGCGCCCCAAGAAGGAAGCAGAGAGGGCGGGGCTATTCAGGACACGCCCAGGGCCGCTTCGCCAACGCCGCTGGTCCAGTCCGGGCGGGTTTTCCTCCCTGGATCATGTTCGTGTGGTGCTCTCTTCTCGGGGCACAGTTGGGCTGCTGCAGTAAGTAGCGCTTAATATGAGGAGCGAAGCCCCTCTGTGGCTTCAAAAGAGCCTGGGTGCACGAGAGGGGCTCGAGGAGCAGCCACGGACGTAAGGAACAGCGAGCCCCTTCTTTGTCAGCGTCTTGGCTGCTCCTCCTCCTCCTCCTCCTCCTCCTCCCCCGCCTCCTCCCCCTCCTCCTCCTCCTCCTCCTCCTCCTCCTCCTCCTCCTCCTCCGCCTCCTCCTGCTCCTACCTCATACCTCCTCCTCCTACCTCACCTCCTCCTCCTACCCATCTCCTCCTCCTCCGCCTCCTCCTCCTCCTCCTCCTCCTCCTACCTCTTCCTCCTCCTCCTACCCCTCCTACTCTCCTCCTCCTCCTCCCCCCTCCTCCTCCCTCCCCCTCCTCCTCCCCGCCTTGGCCGTGCGTGTGCGCCCCACGCGGAGCGCGCGAGGCGCCCTGCCACGGGCCACGCGCGGGGCGCCCACCGCGGGCGCCCTGGCCGAGGCCGGGCGGCCCCCGCCCGCGGGGGCGCCCGCGGGTGCGCCCAGCGGGGGCGCCCGCCCGCGGGTGCCCTGGCCGGGCGGGGAGGGCGGCGTGGCCCGGCCGGCCGCCTCGGAGCTCGCCGTCGGGGCCCAAGCAGCGCGTGCCCTCTGGAGGGGCCCTGGGGCGCACAAAGAAAGACACACGCCGATGAACAGATTCCCCATACGTTCCCATACGTTTTCTGGGTTTCCGGCTTCCCCCCCCGCTTCCCATGGTGTCCCAGATGTTCCCGGGGAGTCGACGGTTGAATTGTGTCTGTGTGTTTTTTGCCCTCCTGACACTCGCTGCGGGGGAGAGGACGAGCCAGGGAGGAGAGGCGAGGCGCAGTCGCAGCACGAGAGAGGGACGCGGCGGGCATCGCACCGCACTAGGATGTCCGACCAGCGCGCAGGGCAGCAGGGGCAAGAAGCAGAAGCACAAGGCGGCGGCCCACCTCCGCCGGCTGCTGGCCGATCCGCTCGGTGAACGCATCCAACTCCTTCTGGGTGGCTCAACAAGGAGTCCAACTGAAAAGGGGTGGTGCACCAGGTTTGGGGCAATTGTATTGCCAATGTACTGCTCCGGAGAATTGTATTGCATTGCATTGCAGGTAATGTACTTTGCACGCAATCCAGCAACACGTCTGCGCCTTGGCATGTGTCGCACGCCCCAGATGTACTGCAACCCCACAGACCTATTGCACCAGACCTATTGCACCACCCCCTTGTCGATGGACCCCCTTTTGTCGAGGGCGCGCAAACATGGACTAGCGATCCATCCTGGATTGAGTGCGCGGTCGCCAAATCCATGGATTAGGGGAGGTGCCCCCTCAAAAATGCAACTGGGGCCGCCTCGCGCGGCGGCGGAAGTCCGCGATTCCCGATGAAAACGGGACCCGTCGCTATTCCACGCCCCCTTAATCCATGTTTGCGATCCCCTGATTCTGGGCCAACCCGACTCCTGCTCGGCGTCGAGCTCGCGCTCCGCAACTTGGCCGCTCCCCCGAAGGCGAAGAGGCAGGGGACGACGACGATGCACGATGTGCGGGGCATGTGCGCGCGCGGAGAGCGCGGCGGGCTAGCCCGGTGGGCCAGGGAGCCTGCAGCAGAGGATCGCGAGAAGCAGCACGACGGCGGAGAAGATCATGCACCCGTGGTCCATGAGCACGACGACAGAAGAAGAAAAAACGCAAGACGATTCCAAGTGATCTTGGAGCCCCCTCGGGACCACCCCACGAAGCCAGATTTGTTTCAAGGAACCATGATCGTTGCCCTCTCGGTTTTTCGCTTGCGATGCGCTTGTTTGTAAGGCCGCTAGATGGCCCCAAAATGGTCATACTGAACAGAAGCAAACGGCATTTACAGAAACTGTTGGCGCTCCGCGCGGATCTCTTGGCTCCGCACCGAGCCCCCCTCCCTGGCGCGCGGAGCGTGCCAGGGGCGGCGCCGCCAGGGGGGCCCAGCGCGGATCCAAGAAGTCCGCGCGGAGCGCCCAACAGTTTATCTTTCAGTGGCTTCGGGGATGGGCAGACCGCCCTTTAGTAAAACGTGTTTTAGTGAAAACGACTTCGGGTCCACACCTGGTGGGCGCAAGCCTGGAAAATAACGGCCACGGCGCCCTCTCGAGAACCGAAAACGGGCAATTCACTAATCGACGTGTCACTGTTGGGGGTTCTGTCCACCCCCGATGGCTTTTTCTTCTTCGAGATGACGGCGTTGCACCAGACATCGCCGGGCTCGACCGCCGGCGCCGCGGATGGCGGCGGGTCGCTCGGCGGCTCTGGCGTCGCCCCCCAGACCTCGGGCGCCGCCGTGCCCAGAATCCTGCTGAATGACCTCTGGGGGAGGGGACAAAAACATGTGTTCCGCTTTAAAGAAAAAGGAAGCAAAAAAAAAAAAAACGGCGTGCAGTGGAGGCCCGACCACGAGAGACCGGCCACCAGAGACCCAGCCCCGAGGCCCCAGGACGTCCAGTGCATTCTGGTGCGGGAGCGTCGAGCCTGCCATGGCAAAACACCATCGGGACCCTGGAGTTACGTCGCGCCTGTACCCTACAGGGGGATTTTCGACGAAAAATTAAAAACAAAACCAAAACATATGTTAAAAAAAAACCTGTCCACAAATCGTCTGGGGACTATTTTTTGAATATTGTTGGACCTTTTTGGGGCATTGTTGGGGCATCCTTGAATCTTTCGTCGAAAATCCCCCTGTAGGGGGGACACGCCCGACATAGCACTGGAGGCAAGCGGGGCGTCTCTTGGCATGGGTCTCCACCGTGGACTCTGGAAGGTCCGCGCAGAGTTCCTGAATCGGGGATGGACAGACCGCCCTTTAGTAAAACGTGGTTTAGTGAAAACGACCTGGGGCCCACACCTGGCGGGCGCAAGCCTGGAAAAGAACGGCCACGGCGCCCTCTCGAGAACCGAAAACGGACAATTCACTAATCGACGTGTCACTGTTGGGGGTTCTGTCCACCCCCGACTGAACCGGCGCTGGGCCCGCGCCCCGTCGGCGCCTCCGGCTCCGCCCCTGGCGCGACCTCGCGCCAGGGAGTGGCGCCCAGCGCCGACGCCAGAACCCCGCGCGGACCTCAGAAATTGGTGTGCTCGTGTGTAGGGGAACAGTGGCTTAGAACAGAAAAACTAGGAGGTCCGCGCGGATTTCTCGCATCGGCGCTGGAACCCCCTCCCTGGCGCGCGGAGCGCGCCAGGGGCGGCAAGGGAGGCGCCGCCGGGGGGCCCCAGCGCCGATCCGAGAAATCCGCGCTGACCTCCGAGTTTTCTTTGTTTATGCCACTTTTTGTTCCCCTAGTGCAATCTCACCTACCATCTCCTCCTCCTCCCCTCGCCGCCCCGCAAGCCCCAAGCATGGCCCGAAAAGACGTCCAAGGCCACCCCCTTGCTCCCATCCTGTCTGCCCGCCTTGTTGCACTATGTGCGGCTCTTCCTCCGTCTTCCCGTCAACTCTCACGGGCAACGTGCCTGAACGGGCTGGTGTTTTTTTTTTGGTACGCGGGCGCGCGAAGCGGGTCGAACGCCGGGTAAGCAAGGGCATGTGCTGTGCCACCAGCTAAAAGAAAGAACACAGCAACGAGCAACGCCAGGTGCGGGGCGGGACTCAGCGCGGCCAAAATGGCGCGAAGGCAACGCAGAGCGGCACCAGGAGCACTAAGCAGGTGCCGAGCAGGAAGCCGAAGCAAGTGAACACAGTGGCGACGATGGGCTGGTGGGGATACGCAAGCGTGAAGAATCGTTTTGTCTTCGAAGACCTCGGGTCCATCAGTAGCCCCAGCTGCTCGTTCGTGACCGTGGGCCTGGTCGTGCCGTCAGGACAGGGGCACCGCACGACCAAGCCAAAGTCGCCAGGCTCCACCTCCGACTCGGATTTCAAGAACCACTCTGGCTCCTCGCTGTTTCGTCTAAGAATGCCGGCCAAGTTGATCCCAAACTTAGAACGAAGCTCCAACGGAGTCACGCTGTACTCACAGCCGGAATCATACCCGATCGCGGCCTTCTGGCCGATGTGCGAAGGGAACTGGAAGCAATCGAATTCCAAGTGGAATGCAATGAACCCCGCCTCCTGGTCGACGCTGCGCCCGCGAGTGTCAGTCTCTATGCGGGGAAATAACTGTCTTTTGATGCGGCTGAGGGAAGCCTCGATGTTGTCTTCTGGGAGCAGGCCGAAATACAACCAGGCACCGTCTTCGGTGACCATGTCCTTCGTGGGAATTTCCACAGTCTCTCTGTGCGGCATGTCCACGAGAAGCAAAACGGCATGGCAATCCTCCTGCATCCTGAGATCCGCGACGCGCCGTCCGTGCAAGCTCGTGCTGCTCTCGTCCACCCTGGCGGCGAACACGGCAAGCCCGGCTCCTCTGGTGTATCGTTGTAGCAGGTCGTGGGTCCCAGCTCCCGCACTGGACGCCATCTTCTGATCGCACAAGAAGACACAACTGCATGTGCATAATCTGTCGACGCTCCACGTGGACTTCTTGGATCGGCGACGGACCCCCCTCCATGGCGCCCGCCAAAGGGCGGCATCGGAAGCGCCGATCCGAATAAATCCGCGCGAAGCTCCGCAAGGGTATGCTTATACTTAAGTCAGGCTTGTCCCCTACAGGCGGTTTTTGGACAAAAAATAAAACATAATCAAAACAAGTACTCAAGTACAGTTGGGGCGTTGACCTAAGGAACGATAAATAAGGAACGAGGCCCCATTTGTTCCTTAAGTTGAACTTCGATCCCCTAGCGAAGTCCGAAAGAAAACCTGAGGCAGACTGCAAAACAATCAAGGAACACCGAGTCCCTCCCCAACGAGAAGGGTTCCTTCTTCAGCGCCCCGACTGTATAGCAACAGATCATGGAACAGTCGTCCCCAGACTATTTTGTGACTATTCTCAAATGCTCCTCCTGTAGAGGGGCAGGGCCCGACTTCAGCTTATGCTGAGTTGCTCTTCTTCGGAATCGGCGCTGAGGCTCCCCCTCCTCGCCTCGGCGGTCAGGGCCTCCCGGCATGCCCCGATGCTCCACCGGCCGGCCAGGTCGAATGCGAGGAGCCCCCCCATGGCCTCCCTGAGAGCTTCCTCTCGGGAGCGGCCGGTCAGGGCCTCCCGGCATGCCCCGATGCTCCACCGGCCGGCCAGGTCGAATGCGAGGAGCCCCCCCATGGCCTCCCTGAGAGCTTCCTCTCGGGAGCGGCCAAGAGGGGGGTGTCCAAGGGGGGGGGGGGTGCAGATCATGACCGGCGGCATGTGCGCGGCCCAGCGGGGGGGGCCAGGGACGCAATGAAATAAGAAGAGGCGCCGTGAAATCTGTGGACAAATCATGGCCCCCGCCATGAGATCCCCCCCCCTAGGCTTTGGACGCCCGAAATGGGTACGGAAAGAATGGGTACAATGCCCAACAACAAATGTTGTCCCAAAGCAACAGCGGCCGCTGTTGGGCAGGCGGCCTTCTGCCTCGAACGGACACAGGCCGCGGCGGCGTGGACAGCGAATCCTGTTCCAAAGGCACAGGAACTGCTGTGGGGCATCGTACCCATTCTTTCCGCACCCATTTCGGGCGTCCAGATAGCCATCACCCCCCTCTTTTCTGCCCCCGATCCTCTCGGGAGCGGCCAAGGGGGGGGTGTCCAGGAGGGGGGGGGGTGCAAATCATGACCGGCGGCATGTGCGCGGCCCAGCGGACGTTATGAAATAAGAAGAGGCGCCATGAAATCTGGGGACAAATCATGGCCCCCGCCATGAGATCCCCCCCCCCCTGGTCATCACCCCCCTCTTTTCCCGCCCCCGCTCCTCCATCGGCCTCTCGTAGCTGGGCCTCTCCGGGCACCACGACACCTTCTCGGCGGCGGGCGCGCCACAAGGGGGGGCAGGCAGAGGGGGCGGGCCGCCTCGGAATGGCACAACTCAGAGCGGCATCATCACACAGTCGGGGCGTTGACCTAAGGAACCCTAAATAAGGAACGAGGCCCCTATTTTCCAGAAGTTGAACTTCGATTTCGTGCCGAAAACCTAAGGAAAATCAAAGGCAAGCTGAGAGCATCGGAGCCCCTCCCCAACGAAAAGGTTTCCTTCTTCAGCGCCCCGACTGTACATGTTTTGACGGCCCGCGCGGAGCCCTTGGATCCGAGCTGGGCCCCCTTCCCTGGCGCGCGGAGCGCGCCAGGGGCGCCGCCGGAGGCGCCGCGAGGGGGTCCCAGTGCGGATCCCAGAGATCCGCGCGGACCGCCAACAGTCCATGTCGATATGCCGTTCTGTGTTCTCTTGAGTCGGGCCTGTCCTCCTACAGGGGGATTTTTTGGACGAGAAATAAAACATAGTCAACAAAAATACTCAAAAGATGCCCCCAAAATACTCAAAAAGTAGTCCCCAAACTGTTGTTGGACTATGTTTGAATACTCCTCCTGTAGAGAGACAGGCCCGACTGAAGTGTTCCCTACGCGACAGAAGGCTCAGAAAGGGCCCTCCCCGGCCTCCCGCTGGCCATCGCTCGGACGTTCATTCCCTGTTGTTTCGATTTCGCGCGTGGTTTTTCGCCAGATGATCAAGGATGCTCCTCGATGGTCCTCGCCGAGGGAAAAATGCACACGTCCGAACGATGCCAAGCCCGAGGAGCTCCCCGCGCCCTGCCGGCAGACGCGAGCCGGCTCCTCCGGAGGCGCGGGGGCGCCCGAGGGGCCCAGGCGCCCTCCGCGAGGGCCTGCCCGCTCTCGCAGCCCCCCGTCGGCGCACCGCCGCCGTTGTCGGCGGCTCAGAGATCGCCGAGCGCGCTCCGCTACAGTCAAAACGTATATCTAGGACGCGAGGTAAGGACGCAAGACCCTCCGAGGCCGAAGTTGAGATCTTCGTGGGCGGCGGCGAGCAGCGAAAACGGCAAAGGACGGGCCGCAGAGGCAAGGACGCAAGGGTATCCTAGATGAAGGCGCGCATCCTTACTAGGCGCGTTGACTGTACTCGCAAAGTCCCTACCCTAGGGGAACAACAAGTGGCATAAACATAAAAACTCGGAGGTCCGCGCGGATTTCTCGGATCGGCGCTCGGGCCCCCCCGGCGGCGCCTCCGGCGCCGCCCCTGGCGCGCTCCACGCGCCAGGGAGGGGGGTCCAGCGCCGATCCGAGAAATCCGCGCGGACCTCCGAGTTGTTATGTTCATGCCCCTTTTCGTTTCCCTATACTCGCAAACGTCCGGAAAACACCTGTCTGCTTTGAGGTAATGTTTCGCAGATCCCCCGCGAGGGATCCAGGCCGTTTGCGAGTAGCTACTTTTTGCGAGTAGTGGAACGCGCTCGTCGAAAAGATGGGGTCCTAAGGGATGGGGCCCTGAGGACGAGGTGCCCCAAGCAGTGTTGCAAATCTACCCTCTTGGATCCCTTCCTGTCCACAATTACTCAATATGAATACTACTCTCCCTCTTCCCCTGATGACGTGCTGGGAGTGTTCGACCCCCCCCCCCCGCGACCCCCCCCCCCCGCGTACTGTTTTTTCACACACAGGATTCCTGGGAGTTGGGTTATCGCTTGCATTTTTTTCAAAATGCTGCTCTCGCTGGAGCGCCGGCCTCATGTTCGGGCCCCGCTCGTTCCGAATCGTGCTCCCGCTGCAGCGCTGGCCTCATTTCCGTGCTTCCGCTCGTTCCGAATCGTGCTCCCGCTGCAACGCTGGCCTCATTTCCGCGCTTCCGCTCGTTTCGACTCGTGCTCCCGCTGCAGCGCTGGCGTCACTTCCCGTGCCATGCCACGGCATGCAATGCAATGCTAGGTTGATACTACGCTTTGCGGTGCTCTTCTACGCCATGCCATGCCGTGCTCTACAATGCATCGCGTATCCTTTCGCGATCATTGCCCTGCTCGACATCCGACTGTGCGAGTAGATAGGGGATGTACGCCATGGTAAGGGATGGGAGGGAGGGGTAGGATGTCAGATATGACGCGAGCGCACCTAGCTTGTTGGGACCCCCTCATCTTTGAACCACCGAGCTTGGTTTGCGGGTCGCAGCTCGGCCACCCGGCAGCCGTTCGGGACAATTCTGCGGTGGACAAACCTCCCTTTCGTAAACAGTGAAAACGGCCTGGGACCGAAACCGACGGACCTGGATCCGCAAAAGTGACGGCCGCGACGCCCTCTCGCGAACCGAAAACGGCCAATTCCTTAATCGACGTCAGGGCAGGAGGTCTGTCTGCCCCCGAACGATCCCCTGGCATCCCCCGGATCGCCCTCGGCGAGGCAGGGCTGCCGGAGCAGCTTGCCCCGAGGCTGGAAGTGAGGCCGGCGAGCACCGGCGAAGACCTTCTCCTGGGAGGCGTCGAGGAGGTCGAAGCAGTGCTGGTAGACCTGCACGCAGGAGGCAGCTGTACACCCCCACATCTCCTGGCCGAGGCCAGGAGGGTCTGTACAACATCCTGGGGCCCAGGATGACCCTGTCCTGGCACGGTGGTGGTGTACAGTCGGGGCGTTGACCGAAGGAATGAGGCCCCTTCCTCCGATAAGTTGAGCTTCGATTTCCCATGGAAAACCTCAGGAAAACAGAAGGCAAACTGCAGAACGATCAAGGAACGCCGAGCCCCTCCCAAACGAAAAGGGTTCCTTCCTCAGGGCCCCGACTGTATAGACGACTTCATCGGCGACCTGGTGCAGCACGAGGCCCAGGCCCCACGCGTCCACCTCCGGGCCCAGCGGTTGGGAGCCCTGGCACACCTCCGGCGCGAGGTAGGCCTGGGGGCTCCAGACCCAGCGCTCCTCCCGGGTGCCGACCTCGCAGGAGCAGCCGAGGTCGATCAGCTT